TGATGGTGATGGTGATGGTGATGAGGATGATGACGATGACGATGACGATGACAATGATGATGATGATGATGGTGATGGTGCTGATGATGGTGATGGTGATGAGGATGATGCTGATGCTGATGCTGGTGCTGATGCTGATGCTGATGCTGATGCTGATGCTGATGACGATGACGATGATGATGATGCTGCTGCTGCTGTGCTGTGCTGTGCTGTGCTGCTGCTGATGATGATGCTGCTACTCATGATGCTGCTGATGCTCATCATGCTGAGGATGAGATGATGATGATGCGGAGGAGGATGGGGAGGTGGATGATGAGTTTGAGGATGCTGCTGATGATGATGCTGCTGCTGAGGATGATGCGGATGCTGATGTTGATGACGACGATACTGCTAATGATCATGTTACTGATACTGCTGCTGACATTGATGATGAGGAGGATGATGAGGCTAGTGATGATGATGATGATGATGATGGTGATGGTGATGATGATGCTGATGCTGATGCTGATGATGATTATGATGATGATGACGATGATGATGGTGCTGCTGATGATGATGACTATGATGATGATGCTGCCGCTGTGCTGTGCTGTGCTGCTGCTGACGATGCTGCTGCTACTCATGATGATGCGGATGCTGATCATGCTGAGGATGGGATGATGATGATGATGAGGAGGAGGAGGATGGGGAGGTGGATGATGAGCATGAGGATGCTGCTGATGATGATGCTGCTGCTGAGGATGATGCTGATGCTGATGTTGATGACGACGATACTGCTAATGATCATGTTACTGATACTGCTGCTGACATTGATGTGAGGAGGATGATGAGGCTAGTGATGATGATGATGGTGATGATGATGGTGATGATGATGATGCTGATGCTGATGATGATGATGATGCTGCTGATGCTGCTGATGATGATGATGATGCTGATGCTGATGCTGCTGCTGTTGCTGGTGCTGGTTATGATGCTGCTGATGGTGCTGATGCTGATGACGATTCTGATTATGATGCTGATGATGGTGCTGATGCTGATGCCGATGCTGATGCTGATGCTGATGCTGATGACGATGACGATGATGCTGATGATGATGATGCTGATGATGATGGTGATGGTGATGAGGATGATGACGATGACGATGACGATGACGATGACAATGATGATGATGATGATGATGATGATGATGATGATGATGGTGCTGATGATGATGATGATGCCGACGATGATGATGATTATGATGATGATGATGATGATGATGATGACTATGATGATGATGATGCTGCTGCTGTGCTGTGCTGTGCTGCTGCTGATGATGATGCTACTACTCATGATGATGCTGATGCTGATCATGCTGAGGATGAGATGATGATGATGATGATGATGATGAGGAGGAGGAGGAGGAGGAGGAGGAGGAGGATGGGGAGGTGGATGATGAGTATGAGGATGCTGCTGATGATGCTGCTGCTGAGGATGATGCTGATGCTGATCTTGATGACGATGATACTGCTAATGATCATGTTACTGATACTGCTGCTAGCGTTGAGGATGAGGAGAATGATGAGGCTAGTGATGATGATGATGATGATGGTGATGATGATGGTGATGATGATGATGCTGATGCTAATGCTGATGATGATGATGATGATGATGATGATGATGATGATGATGGTGATGATGATGATGATGATGAGGAATGCTGATTATGCTGATGACGCTGATGATGCTGCTGCTGATGATGATGCTGATGCTGATGGTGCTGGTGATGGTGGTGGTGCTGGTGATGGTGATGGTTCGGGATGT